ACGGGTATTTCTGCCATCCGCGTCTTGGAACCAATCTAATTTTGTATATAGGTATGATGGCTTTTTAGATTTTATAATTTTATGTAAACAACAGGCCAAATGTAATTCTCTTCTCGCTGCCATGTTTAAGATTTTGCGCGCGTTTAGATATGGAGTGATATGTGATCGTTTTGATATATGATAACAAAATTTTATACATGCGTTTTGCACGCGCTGAATACTTCTTTTTGTCTTTTCTGTAATTCTAGGTCCGTAAATGATGTCGCAGTAATTGAAAAGGGAAAGTACGAGTGCTTCGGTAATTGTTTTTCTGACATCCTCGGTTAGGTATTTTCGGAATTGGTATAGATGTTTTAGTCTGTAGAAAGCGTTTTTTATTTTGCTGTTTACGTGTTCTTCAAAGCGTAAATCCCCATCCATAAATAGTCCCAAATTTTTGGCGTTTTCTACTCTTTCAATTTCTTGACCCGATATCATGATTCTCGGAGACTGCCTGATAATAGCTTCCCGTTGGTGTTTATTTCCAAAAACGATATACTTAGATTTATAAGGATTTATCTTAAGAGAATTTCTCATACTCCAATTAGATAGATAGTCTAGGTCCTGATTAATCTTTGCCTCCGCTTGTTTTAAAGTCTCGGGTCGACATGACAAGTATAGCTGCGTGTCGTCTGCATATAGGTGATACTTACAATTAGTGATCGATGTTGTGATATCACTTGTATAAAGACTAAAGATAACTGGGCTTATTATGGAGCCTTGTGGAGTGCCGCTACTGATGTCTTTAATTTGTGATCTGACAATTAGGCCTTCAACATTCTCGATTTCAACAAATTGTATTACTGTTTGCTCTATACCTAGGAAATTTAAAAATTATTCCGTTAAATATAACGTTAGAAATATTAAAAACTATGATACTAATTATATATTTAATAAGACGTTTTATATAATGACGCGTAATTAACAAATAATACAATACAACCAAATGTATAAAGGTAAAGGATTAAATAAGAGAATCATTGAATCAATTAGGGAACATTCGTTGTGGGGCAAGGGCGAGGTACGAAGAGTGGGAGACGAAGATCGAAGGACGAGACAATCGCCGGAACCACACCGCGGGACGCCGGATCGTCTGGTGACAACCGAGTCTTCTCTCAAAAGCTCAAAGCTCGCCGAAACTGGCATATCTAATTTATTTATTACAAAAACCGTTCTCATTCATACAAAAGACGATTTTATGCTCAAATTAAAATATATAAATAGCTAATATTAAAAATTTTAAACGTGTAACAAAAAGGTTAAAAATAGTTTTAAGATAACCCTATATAGGGAAAAGAAATTCTTTACAAATGTGGTTCTTGTGTGTATAAATTTGTTCTTGAGAGCGTTATTTCATATAAAAGAAAAAACTGTAATGTAACTGTAAAAATATTGTAATTAAATTAAATTTGAAACAATAACTTTAAAAATTTTTGTATCTTTATATCTTATATAATATATCTTTCTTTCCTATGAAAGGAAGATATAAAGCTTTAAATTCGTTAGAAAAAGTAAAAAATAAAGGTACTTGTGCTGTTGATTTTCGAATTGAATACACTTCATTATTTTTGCAACTTAAAACTCATTTTTATAAACTAATAAAAATATTCAGAAATTAACATCGATGTTTACCTGCATAAAATTGTGTTAAAATTCCAATTACGAGGTGCCATTTTACTAAAGATAATTACGATCCGAGGCGTCGGGGCTGATGTAAAAACGCGAACACAAACTCAAAGGATAGACGCAATGTGTTCGATATAAATAACAAAATGATAGGTTAGCAAACTCTGTCTGTTTTTGTGTTACGAAAACATCAACAGAAGTGGCAAGAGTCAAGAGCGGGTCGGTTATTATCCTCACTTCGTATTGGATTCCTTTTCAAACAGCTGCTCCTACAAATATTTATAGTATCATTTGCAACGCTAATAAAACAATGACATCTGTAAAATCTGAAAGATGTTTTAATAAGCTTTTATACTGAAAAGTTGTATTGAACATTTATTTAGTTTTATCTTACGAAGACTTTGGATGATTAAGCGAAAGTTTTATTCTATTATCTCGCATTGCTTCTGGTTGCAATAAATATCTACATAAACAAAGAACACCTACCATGCCAAAACCATATCGAATAGATGTTTATTTAAAATGCTTCGGAACAAATTCGCATATTACGGAAACATTGACGTACACTGGGGACATTCGAAACATAAATTCAAAGCAAACAATACGTAAAATGACATTGAACGGCTATTGTCGACGGCCGGTGTCGCTTCTCACATTGTTTATGATTTCTATTGTTTTGAATTGTTAAATATACTAACATTGATTCTCTTATTGAAAATGTCGATATTTTTCAATAATTTTTATAACTTACTAGGTCTTTAATGTCGTCACCCATTCTAGATCTTATTTTTTTACAAGAAATCAAATAAATTAATTCATCTAGCAGGTTGGTAAGAATGATACGATAGCTTAAACAACAATCGAAAAACGATAAATAATAAATGAAACTATAAACTTTCACCAATCGCCGTCTAGACGCACGACTGGTAACTTTTTTTCATCATGAAATATACGTCTTGGTTTATCGTAAACCAAAACGATTGAAACAACTAACCGACGTCAATTATGACATGGAAATGTTTAAGATAAGACTGAACGGTGTACTATTACCTTGTTACCACCATTCATTAGATCCCATCGCCAATTGACTTGCGCATTAGTTGCATGTTATTTTACTACAAACAGTTTGAAGTATATCTAAAGAAGTAGGATAGAATAGAACCTACATTATCACCACTGAAAGGAATGCTTCAGAGGGAATAGTAGGCCGTAGGCCTAATTTTAGCCCTCTTTCCTTTTCCACTCTTTTCTAATGAGGAAAGTTATGGAAGAAAAACTGGATTTGATGTAGGACGCATGGGAAGGGTACTATTGTTTTTCTGTATCTTCTCCTCCGTCGACTAAAGGTAGGAAACGCATATGCAATTGTATATATGTTTCTGGGCAACGGTCGCTTCGCCATTTCGGCAGATTCAGGCGGCCGCATGCCCGTTTGCCACCATATAATATAAAAAAAGATTCGTTTTTCTGTTTTTTTCTCTGTAGATTAAAACTTGAAGATTAATAATAAACTATTATTCTAATGCTCTAAATATAAAACATAAATAATGTAATTTAGTTTTTAAGTAACTTTATATTTTTAACTTTATATTCATAGTAATAATGTATACGATAACAAATAAAAGATCTTCAAGAATCTTTTTAAAATTACTGTATATTATTTAAATATAATTATATTGTTATTTCAGAAATAACTTCCCTCATTTATTTAATTGTTATTTTACAAGTTCCGCTTACAAAGTAAATTTTCAATTAAAACTAAACGAAAATAAAAACTATTAAAAAACTTAATAACCTATATTGGTTTATAAACTTAATAAGGGAAGCGATTAAGTTAAATATTTTTTATAATATCTTTTTTTATCCTTGAGAATTATTTAAATATTGTAAGTTTGCAACATAGCATCATTTGCAGAACTTATTCTGTATATGTATTGGAATAATTAAAGAAAATATTTGTTGTTACATCTGCACTCCTGGTTATTACTTAATTCAATTTAATTTATAGGTTTGACTTATCTGGCCAGGTACTACTAATATTAGTAGTCAGTTTCAATTTCGGTCACCGGGCCGAATAACTTTGTCGCACTATAGCAATAGCTGATGTAAGTAACATGAACACAACATGCACACAGATAAACTACTGAAATAATTTAGTTTTAATCTATAACTTTTAGTGTTGTTATAAACGGAAGCATCGACTTCGGTCAAATTCCAGAAATTCTCTCCGCTACTCTCGATCCAATAAGGAGGTTGGATGAGTCGGCAATTGCCTAAAACGGGCAATATCACGATCTATTAGGCCACAAATGGGCTCCGATGCGCCGCGTTACAGCGTGAAACGGCCCACCTCGACGACCACTTTTTGTTTCCACCTTGCCCGCGCCCCCCCACGTAGGCCAAAGTCTTAAAACTACCTCACAATGTAATAAATACATGATATATGCAATTTAAGGTACGAGCTGCACCTGCTAGTAAGCCAGAACCTTGATATTGTGAAGCAAGTTTTGCTAACGAGTAATATACATTTGTAGAAATACAACACAACAACTTTCAGAAAAAACAATATGTCGGTTTTGCATTGGATCTACAAGAGACCAATTTATGACTACAAAGTTTCTTTGAAAAAACTGAGTTTTCCAATCTGAATATTCCTTTATATCTGTCTAAAGTAAGCTAGGTATAGATTATAAACACGAATGTAATAAAAAATGCAAGTAATTTGTTCATATTCGAACTCCTTGAAGGTTTTTTTTTCTTCTTAAAAATATTTTGATTTCGGAAAAGGCCAAAATATAATCATTTCTTTGATATTGAAAATAAAACTGCTGCTTTATTTTTAATAACGTAATACACATATCAAGTTTAACAAATTGTTTTAATAAAACTTTATACTTGGAGTCAAAAACAGTCCAAATTGTTTAAAAAAATTAGGCCACAACTTAAACTTGACTAACTTCAATGTTTAAAATTGGAAATAATTGTCGTAAACATTAGAATATAAAAAATATTTAAAGAATTCAAAAAGATTAAAATGATTATACCTAGGGTACATATAATCATTTAAAAACACTATAAAGAATTCTTTTTAATTGTTTATTTATAAAAAATAATTTGGCGATTTACCGTTGGGTTCCTTATATTAATAAAACCAATGTTCTTAATAATAATTAATCCATTTAATACATCTAATAGAAATTATAACAATGAAAACAATATTTACAATAGTGATTTCTATTATCTACATATAGTAAGTAACAATAAAACGAAATCTTAATATAAAAAATAAATAACAATCATGTCTTAAAACATTCGCATTGAATTTATCATTTAAATAAAGTTTAAACGATTTTAATAAAAATATTCATACTGTCATTTTTATCACTAAAATAATACCAAAACACTAATCTTATTACAGGAACATTATGAAGAAATAAAACCTTTCATGTTTTAAAATATAAATAAATAATGTCCAAGTCGATCATCAGCTACGAATCTACGTGAGATCACTATTTTATTCTATTGAGGAATATTCTGTAGGCATCAAACAGCACTGCGTCGGCAGCGCGGTGCGACGGCCCATTTACTTTGAAATTAACTCTATTTAGGCCTCGCCGTTTCGGGGCCGACTCGCGCACTAATATTACCACCGCTTTCAACATCGATCAACTTAATCAACTAACTATTTATATTCAGTACTTTTATTCTAATAATCATCCACACGGCATGTACAGAGTTGTCGGGGATGAGTATAGAGTTTAAAGTGTTCGGTACTTACAATCTAGCATTGCACAAGAGTTGGGAGCGGTGAGCGCAACGGGTCACGCCACCGGGAGCGGCGGCGGCGGCAGGTAGCAAGGCCGCAGGGCCGCTGCCGCCGCCGCCTGCAGCAGCTGCGCGTGGTACCGCTGCGCCGCCAGCGCGTATGGCGAGGCGAGGGTGGGAAGTGAGGGCAGCGCGTGCAGCGTTAGCGCCGGTCCGCGCGGCGGCTCCGGCTCGAGCAGCGCTTCGATGGTGAACGCCCGCCGTGGCCGCTCTCGCGTTACCAATGTCAGCGCCCCAACCTCTGGTAGCTCCGCGGGCTCGGGGCTCGGCTGCGGACACGAGGCAGGCGTGTATAGGCTCGCGGTAGGCATCACGGGCGGCGGCGGCGCGCCCGCCTGCCGTGCCAAGAACGCTCTGTTGAAGCTCGCGAGCGCCGCTAGCTCTGCGTTAAGGTTGTCCTTTTCGCCCTTGTGCAGCTTAAAGCGCTTGCGACGGCGTAGCAGCGAGCCGTTCTCGAACATGTCGAAGGCCTGCGGATGCAGCGTCCAGTAGGCGCCCTTGCCCGGACGGTCGGGCCGCCGCGGCACCTTCACGAAGCAATCGTTGAAGGAGAGGTTGTGGCGCAGCGAGTTCTGCCAGCGCTGCGTGTTGCGCCGGTAGTACGGGAAACGGTCCGTGATAAAGCGGTAGATCTCCGACAGTGGCAGCATGCGCTCCGGGGAGCTCCAAATCGCCATCGCCGTCAACGAGATATAAGAATAAGGAGGTTTTTGATCACCGTATGACTCACGCGACGGTCGCGGCATAGTCACTTATGTTGTTATTATTTCAAATCAAATTTTTGTATATTTGTAGTAAGCAAAGAACGCGGGTCACGTCACTTCTGCACAAGGTGTGAAGAGGAACTGAGGCAGGGTGAGGCCGGTGGTCGGGCCCGCCCGCTCGAGCCGGGGGCTCGCAGCGGGCCTGGTTCTGCGTCGCGACGGCACTCATTGGCCGCGCGGCGGGCCAATGGCGACCGACCTCGCTCAGGTATGATGTCGGCTTTCGTTTCACTAACGAGGAATTTAAATTGATATTATGTTTATATTGGCCCCGAATGTGTTTTGTGACGACACCGCTTTTTATTTAGCGTATGTAAATTACGATGATACAGAAAAAGAGATTTGAATTATACAGAGAATCAACGATGAACGAGTGTTATTAAAAATCTCACCTTTATAAATTGCACCGGTGAAATGAAACGGCCGCGAATAATTGATACGTGTGATGTTTTGTGCTTTACCATTTGTTCCGTGAGAGAACGCTTTTAAATAATGCGCTCCCTCTGATGATGAATTAAGCCGCTACGAGATAAAGTGGAGCCATCGCACGTGTTATAGGTATATTATGTTTATACGTTTGTGATAAATTTATAATATAATGGGCAGTTTATTATTTTCATTTATGTTTTACGAAAAGTTTATTCAAACGTATGCAATAGAAGCAAGGGAACCAACTTAATGTTGGGTACAACTATATGCAATAAAGCTTTTAGAAAATTGGTGAGCCCGTTATTACCAAAATGTTTGTATAATTTGCTATCATTTTTTACTAAATTTTTATGGTAATGTCTACTTAAACAGTTCAAATTACAAAATCTACACAGATTACTAAAACTAATATTACTTATCCGTTCTTTTTTGACTGATAAATCCCATATTGTATAAATTATATCTATAAACGCTATATTTATATCATTTTCAGAAAAAAAATACGAGAAAATAGACATGGTCAATAATGGAATCAAAAAGTTTAGTAAAAACATCGACAAAAAATGTATTCTGAGACGATCAGAGTTTTTTTAGACTGTGTACCGTTTGTACAGAACTAAAGGTGGTTGAACCGAAGTTAGATGTTGCCAGCTTCCTCTCTAACTGTGTGTTCACACTGTTGAAACACTTGTATAAAATATTGTTATCCTTTAAATTGTCTATGACAAAAACCGAGACAACAATAACATTAAATACATGTTTTAAGACAAATGTAACATCAAAGAAATGTCATATTAATATATGTACATCTTACTAATATTGTCAATGCAAATGTTTACATGGATGGACGGATGTTGTCTTGATAAATTTTGGCATAGATGCAGAGCATAGTCTGGAAGAACACATAATCTACTAATTGTGTTATTTTTTTATACCGCGCGAACGGAGTCACGAACGACAGCTAATAATATATATGTCTCCAAAAACGCGATAAAACGTTTTCGTCAACTAGTCAACCAAATAACCAATCTTCTTGTTTAAATTTGAATTAATTCGAATTTGATCGTTTTCTTAATTTGTAAACGCTATATTGATATTATTATTAAGGAAAATTGTATTTCTAATAGATATCTAAGTGATTATTGTTACGAACGGTCCTACCATTTATAGATTGTTGTAAATTGAATAAAATTATAAGAGAGATTAAGTTAATGTGTTGTTAAAACTAAAAAAAACTTTGCATGTTCTAAAAGTGTAAAAAGTAATACAAAATTGCAAATTATATGTACTTCTAAAATTTCTTATAAATATCCTGGTTACCGACGGTAGCTTAGGGGTTAAAGAACTTAACTTGCATGTACATTTATCCAACGCTCTTACGGTGATAGAAAACATCGTGATGAAACCTGCACATATCTGTGAAGAAATTCAAAGATATATGTGAAGTCAACCAACCCGCTCTTGGCCCAGTGGTTGACTATGGCCTTGTCACCCGTAACTTAGTGTAGGCTCCGAGCCCCTCAGTGAGGACGTATAGTGAGCTGATGTTGTTGATCCCCGTTAAAATCAAATCAAAAGTATGTACATAATAAAATATTTAAATGCAGTAATAAGATTAAAAGCAATTAATTTCTACACCGCAACTTTCCAATGGCAGATAAATAAGAGCTCATATTTGTTCGGCTCTCCATTGATATATAACGTTTGTTAATTAGGTTATCTCAGGACCGGCATCTACAAAGGGCCAGGATTTAAAAGGCTCGTTGATATTAAAAGGCCGCTTTTTATCATAAATCACCCCCGCCTCAGGCCGAAGGGCGCGAATGCCAAAACTGCGATAATGTTGACAACCTTCATAATATTGCAATACGGGATAGATCTCAAGTTTATCTGTTCTCTAAGAAATAATTTAAAAAAGACTTTAATTAAATAAGATATTCGTTTCTTTGTTTATTTATTTGATCAAAATGTTGGTGCATATTCTACTCAAAATTACTAATCACAATGAAATGTTAAGTACTAAAGTTTTGAGATTCTGCAACCTTAATGTCTATGATATTTGGTGGGAAATGAAAAACTTTTTTAATCCAAATATTTTATAGAACCCATCGTAAATACAACTGATGGTCTAATAACTTAGTTCAATAACATACTATAGAAACATATAACAAAGAAATTTAAAAACATTTTTCCTACAAAATCTAATTTGATTGTCACCATATCTGTCGGTCGAAAAAATATGCAAGTAATGACTAACGCACCCTGAGAGCTTTTTTAAGTTATTCGAGATGTTGTGCTTAGAATTAATTATTGTATCCATTTGGCACTCGGCACAAAGGCGCGGTGTCATTGAAGTGCGAAAGGCGCCGCTAGCTACGAAGAAAAATGGCTTAATGCATTTTCGTTTGCCAATTTTATAGAAGTAGTTGTTTTTTTTATCAATTTTTTCAACCAACATTTACATCCAAGCAAATTTATTAAAAGTATTGACTATGAACTTCAAATATATGTGCAAAATAAGATATTTATAAGTATTTTGTCTTTATGTTGACATCATTTTAAGTCATCTTTGTACTGTACATGTTGCAAGTAAGTTGTAACCATGCGTTTCCACTGTTAAAATACATCTGCAAAAACATGTTATTATCGTTCTCCGTCATCTTAGAGACCAACTAAATTACAAAATTGTTGGACTCAATATCTTTAAATATCGCTTTTAAAAAACCTTAGATTTTAATGGTAATTGTAAAACAAAAGCTAATTTTTAAAAAATAATATTAGGATCGAATATTTATTTTGGGTCGTAATCTTCATAAATCTAATTCATTCTACACTTTTATTTAATTACATGTATACGGTAAGTTATTAAAAAAAATAGTCGTTTAAAACGTAACCATCGTACGTATCGAGTCCCACGGGATCTCATCTGGTCGGGTTGTGATTACAGAGGGCTTCCCTGTAATAATAAAATATCGACATGCCGCCGCTGCCCGCCGCACTATCGACTGCTCGTTCGATAAGCATCCGTGACGAATTCGCGCCACAACACTATGCTTGCATGCCCTAAACCTAACAAAACAATACGACGTAACCACCTTCAATAGATAAAGGATTATGAGTCGTAAGCTTTGGAGCACTAAGTTTAAACTCCAATAATCTGTTTGTTACTTTATTATCTTATATTGCACTAAAATACAAAATGGCCGTGATATTCGTATCGATATAATTTTATTTCCAATTATGATGCTCGATGTTTTTCACATATTTATAAGATTTTTGAAAGGCAGCGGTGTTTAAATCGTAGCAACTACCATACTGTCTACATGTTGGATTAGAAAACAAAAAGGTAAAATTATTTTTTCTAATCAGTAATTTTAAACATCTCTCACGATATTAATAATATACATATGTATATAAATAAATGTCTACAATTCTTATATAATATATAATATCTTGAAATTATTTTGAATACACATTTTCTTTTGTAACTAAATAGCAACTAGTGACGTAACTCAAACATGAAACAACGTAATGCGTAAAACAGATTCAACAATACATCATAAACGAATAAATTTTCTTCGTGTTTCCTCTAATGTACTATTATCTATGTTTTTTAATCTTTTTTATTGTAAACTTTAACATTAATTATTTACTTCTCACATTAATTTACTTGACTTATAATTCTTAATAATTCCTTTGCTTATCTTACTTTTAAAATATTGTATATAAAATTTGAACCTTTTCAACTACTTATCTTCTTACCTGGAAATAGTACATTCCCCTTCCCACCCTTTTTCTTATAAGGAAAGGATGGGAAGTGGACGTGGACCTTCCGGATGAGATGATGCATGGAAAGCGAAAATATTTTATTTGTGTGCATCCTCTCCTCCGTCGATTGAAGGTGGGCGACGAATATGCAATTGCCATATGTCTATGGGTAGCGGTCGCTTCGCTGTTTCAGCGATTTCAGGTGGCTGCTCGCTTGTTTGCCACCTTATGATATAAAAAAAAATCTCCTAAAATATTTGTGAAAGTATAACCGTGGGTTTCTGACACCAAAAGCTCTGTATAAAACATATCGTCATCCCTGTCTTTCATCTTTGACAAAACGGAGATAAAAATATATTTTAAACGGAGATTTTTGTGTCATCAACCCAAGGTAAATAATGTATACAAACGTTTAATTTTAGTTTTTTTAATACTTAAAAAGTAAATATGTGTCTATTCAAACAACTTTTTAATGCTTTCTCATGAATTAATATTAATTGCAATATACATTAGTGTAAACGCGACAAAACGGCGCCAGCCTGCTGCTTTTGTGCAATCAAACTGTACTAATTATAACTAATACTAATTAAAGTTATACTAATAGTCGTTTACTAGGAACCCTATTGTTATTGTCTAACCGCGAAATATTTACCTTTATAAAACATATTAGTAAATTGCGGTACAATTTCGCCATAAAAAATTATACACATTGTTCATACACTTAACTTTGAGTTTGTACAAAGTACTGTAAAACAAGGCACTAACCTTGGGTTTCTGATAACAAAATCTCCGTTTAAAACCGACCGGGATACAGATATTTTGGTGTCGGAAACCCACGGTAATACATTATATTTATTATTTTGTA